GAGAGACCACATGCCCATGTCAAAGCCTGCACCTTGATTTGGAGGCACCACCGGAAAAGAACGGAGAGGAGGAGGAAAAATAGCCCAGAGGAGGAGAAGAAGGACAGGCCTCACTGCTGCCCCACGGCTTGCTCTTCTTGCTGCCCTTTGAGGCTCCCACCATAAACAGGGACCTGTTCTTCCAGCCTGGGCTCATAGAGCAGGCCTCCGCTTGTAGTGGGAGCCTCGAAGGGTAGTGGGAGGACCATGGTGCAGGGCAGCAGCAGCGAGGCTTGCCCTCCTCCTTCTCCTCTGGCTCTTCCTCCTCCTCCTTCCCATTCTCTTCCAGCGGCACCTCCATATCTAGAAGAGGAGGCATCTCCAAACGGAGAGGAGGAAGAGCCCATCACTGTCAATTCCTCTCAAACCCCTCCAGTATTTTTTGTTGGTCGTGGGAGTTCTGTGTACCAAGTCTGGTCCAGGTCTGTAATTTGTGGGGGTTTCAGTGGTCTGGAAGTCAGAGCTGAATCGGTGGAAGGTACTACAAATCCCATAATTCATTATCCATACTCCCCAAACATTGTTTTTGTGATTGTTCACTGTGCTTTAATTATGTTCAGTTTGTAACAATGAAAATACATATCAGATATTTACGTGACGATTCATAGCAGTAGCAAAATTACAGTAATGAAGTAACAACAAAAATAATTTTATGGTTGGAGCTCACCACAACATGAGGAACTGCATTGAGGGGTCGCGGCATTAGGAAGGTTGATAAACACTTCTTTAAGGTGTATAAATAAATAGGAATCTTCCCCAAAGCATGATGTAAAAGAAAATATTCTACAACAAAGCTTCTTTTGGGGACTCTCTGGAGTAAAGCCTCATCCAGGCCTACCCAGGCAGCTTTAATGAGAAATTTTAAACTTTCATCTTATGTTTAATCTTTGTTTTGTGTATTTTAATATGCATTTTGAGGAAATATGTTTTAATATGTATATTTCAAAGGAAGTTTTTAGAAGAATTTGTGTTTTAGCAATATTGTAACCCAAGAAATGGGAGGAGGGCAAGAAATAAAAATTATTAGTATTATTAGTATTGTCCTTCCCTTGGGTCTTTGCAGGTGAGGGTCAGCTCCACGAAGCATCACCCCGAGACCCTTGTCCATGTGGCCGGATTCCACCTCCCTTCCAAGGTAACTTCCTGCCAAACCTTAGCTGCCCCTCTTTCTTCTGTGAAAGCTTTGCCCTGGTTTTCATGGAAAGGCAACACATGATTAAAAAGAAAAAGTGCCCTTCTTCTTGTTTGGATGATGACAACAACAGCAGCATTGGTCTTGTTTATTGTGTTCATTTATTTTTCTAAAAACAGCTACCACTTTTGGCAAAGTGCAATAAAAAATAAGGTATTATTTTCTTTTTTAAAGACTAAGCACTTTGGAGGTGAAAAGGAGCCTTCAACGAGAGAGAGACAAGAGCAGGCAGAGGTCGCCGGCCCCGAAGACTCTGAGTTTGGCTCCTTCCTGTTCTGGAGGAACCCACTGCCCAGTATAGAGGAAGACCTGCAGGCCTTACTGGTAAGGAGGCAGGCTTTGGGGCTGCTCCCCATTTCATGCTCTGCCATGGGCTCCTCTCTGAGTTGGCTGTCTATCTCTGTCAGGATGCGGATGCCGTCTGTGTGGGACCCGAAGACCCCAAGGGCCAGGAGAGCGAGGAGGAGGAGGGGGAAAGTGATGAAGATGAGGAGGAAGGCTGGATCACGCCCAGCAACATCAGGCAGATACAGCAAGAGTTGGGCCAAGGGGCCGAGCCAGAAGGAGTGAAAGTGGGCTGCCTGACCACCGACTTCGCCATGCAGGCAAGTGACCTTTGGGAAGCCTCTGGCCTCGCAGGTGGGGCGTCCATTCTCTTTAGCTATTGGGGAGGCCAGGGCACAGGGACATCGAGGACCCGGCCCAAATCCTGCCCTTTCCTGGATTTGGATCAGCCACCCAGAGAACAGCGACTGAAATGGTCAAAGGTCTGGAACCCATGACCCTTCTGAGGAGCAGCTTGGAGAGAAGGAGTCTGAGAGGAGGGGACACGAGAGCCAGGTTTAAATATTGGAAAGGAGGTCCCATTGAGGGTCCAAACTTGTTTTCTGCTGCTCTGGAGATGCAATAGAGCCATGGATTGAAATGGCAGGAAAATATATTCCAACTCAACATTAAGAATAACTTCTTGATAGTAAAGAGTATTCTAGGAGTTTGGTATAGTCTCTTCTCTGGATATTTTTAATCAGAGACTGGGTGACCATCTGTTGGGAGAGCTTGAATTGTGTCTTTCTTTATGGCAGAAGGGAGTTGAACTGGGTGTCCCTATGATTTAAATGGTAGGACAAGAGTCCACCTAAACATTGGGAAGACACTCCTGATGAGCAGAGGAAACTGCTGCCTAAGAGTCCAGTGGAAGATTTCTACGCAGAGGCTGGGTGGCAAGCTGTCAGGAGTACTTTGGCTGTGTGTTCCCACATAACAAAATGTGCTTGGCCTAGATAATAATAATATAATAATGAATCTTTATTTATATCCCACTTTTCTCCCTCACAAGGATCCATATTAAAATCATTGATATAAGTATAAAACATCATAAAATAACAATTTAAGGCAACAATGGACTTTGGGGGTCCCAACTCTAGTAGGATATAGACTGCCTGGGAGTCTGGTGGAGCCTCATTCATTCTCTGGAGAGTTTGAATCAAGAGGTCAGCCAGCCCTCTGTCGGAATGGTTTGGATTGTGTATTCCTTCCTGACAGAAGGGGGTTGGCCTGGATGGCCTTTGGAGGTCCCTTCCACTCTCAGATTCTATGGCATTCTTCCACAAGGAGGTCAGGCTAGGTTCAGAGGTAGGTACAAGGGGAGGCAACAGGAAGAAGGAAATGTGTACCCTCATCCATCTACCACCACTTTTCGGCCCAAGTGGAGTCTCATGGCCTTTGGGGACACAACAAGCTAGGGGTCTGATGGTTTGTTGTGTCATGTCTGACTCCCCCTCCGCTCATTGTCTCTTGCAGAACGTCCTGCTGCAGATGGGTTTGCATGTCCTGGCGGTGGACGGACTCCTCATCTGCCAGGCCAGGAGCTACGTCCTGCGCTGCCATGGATGCTTCAAGTAGGCACCTGCCTTTGTGTCTTTTTTGAGATGCCTTTTCATTGTTATTCTCTGTTATCCTTATTGCCTTGGGTTTCTCATAATATGGGGCCTTGAGTCGATCATTACATGAAGTAAAGAATGATACAGTCAGAAACAACCTGCTTTATCAAATGGTTGCGCTTAATATATTAATATTACAATTGAGTTGATGTTGTCATTGCCTGCCTACAAGTTGCTTTCCAACAGGGTGTTGTGGCTCACTTTGAGCCTGAGCTTTCTCAGCCTGAGTTTCCTCAGGACGAGGATGATGGGTTACAGATTTCTGAACATGTCCCTGTTCCTGTTATTGAGGCAGACAGTGTTTATTCTGAAGAAGAGACGGCATTTCTGTTCCCCAGAGAAAGGAATGTTGTTTTAGATAAAGATAGTGAAACTAGTGAAACTGCAGGTGGAAGAGTCGGCCCCATCTGGGAGTTCAGTGCCTCTCGGTTCCCAGGGTGACCAGTCCCAGGATAATGAGGTATCCGGCCTTGAAGATGGTGGCGATTTGGTTAGGGAGGACCGTTTGCAGTTAAGGGTTCACCTTGCCAACCAACAGGAAGTTTGAGGTCAACGTAATGCTTTCATGCTGGGGAAACATATTTAACGATCCAATTGAAGTCTGTCAGTGCAATGTTGCTTACACCCTGTTAACTTCTCTGAAATTACCTTGGCTTTTGGGGAAAGCTTCTAGCTCTTTGGGACTTTGGTTCTGATCTTGATTTTTAGGGGACCTTGTCATGCTGCCATGGATTCTTGTTTAACCAATGCTAAAGGATTATACTTCATGTTATTTGCCTTTGGATCTTGGAAACTTTGCCTTTGCATTTAAGACTCTGTTTTGGCTATTGAACTTTTGCAACTTTACTTCTATGTTTTTGATTTTGCTTTTTCTTCAATAAACTACAAAACCTACAGCCTTGGTGTGTGGTGGTGTCTTGAGCAAGGTGAATCTATCCTGAGTTGCAACACTAGGACAGGTTTTCTTGCCTAGGTTTCATTAGAGGGCTTTTGCCTTTGCTTTCAGAAGTCCAGCTTCAGCAGTAGCTTCTTGGAAAATTTTAAAAGGCATCAAGTGGCCACCAAGTGCATACAGTTTATTATCGATGGGTTCATTGTATGCTGCCTTCCTCCTGGAATGGGACTCAAGGGGGCGCCGGAATCTGCTTCCGATCTCCATCTGACCCGAACTGTCTTTGTTTCCCTAAGGACAACCTCAGACATGACGCGACTCTTCTGCCCACATTGTGGCAACAAGACCCTCAAGAAGGTGGCAGTGTCTGTGGCCGATGACGGCAGTCTCCACTTGCATTTCTCCCGGAACCCAAAGGTCCTGAACCCACGTGGACTGAGGGTGAGTGGCCCATTTGCCACCTTTGTACCTTACACTTACGCATACACAGAGAAAGGTCTCCCCTTCGTTGCTATGGCAATTGTCTGGACCTACGGCTGCCACTAGATTTCCTCATGCAAAACCAGTTTGGTTAGTCAGGTGCTGCCTAGAGCTTCACAAAGAAAGGGAAACCCCTTTAGCAGAACAACGGTTCTCTTCGGTGGAAAATTCTCTTGTAGTTGGGTGCTGCTTGGATCGGCAGAGGACCCCTTTACGCAATAATTTCCCAGCAAAGACCTGGTGTCTTGCGTATTATTAGGGGACAGCAATATACAGAGCGTTCACCTTTTATCTGCTGGAAATGAGTGTATAACACTCAGCCTTCCTAATGCC